CATTTAGTATGATGTTGGCTGTTGGTTTTTCATAGATAGCTTTAATCAGGTTAAGATAAAGACCTTCTATTCCAATTTTCTGTAGGATTTTATCATGAATGGGTGCTAGATTTTGTCAAATGTTTTTCTGCATCTATTGAGATGATCCTATGGTTTTTGTCTTTGACTCTGTTAATATGGGGTATTGCATTTATTGATTTACGAATGTTGAACCATCCTTGCATCCTTGGGATAATTCCAACTTGGTCAGGGTCTATGATCTTCTTGATGACCCTCTGTTTTCTGTTTGCCAGTATCTTGTTGAGGATTTTTGCATCCATGTTCATTAGGGGGATTGTCCTATAGTTTTCTTTTGGTGTTGGGTCTTTCCCTGGTTTTGGAATCAAAGTAACACTTGCTTCCAGGAATGAAATTGGAAGTATTGCTTCCCTTTCAATTTCGTAGATGAGTTTAAAGAGTAATGGCAAGAGTTCTTCTTTAAATGTCTTGTAGCATTCAGCAGTGAAGCAATCCGGACCTTGGCTTTTCTTTGTTGGTAAATATTTTATTACATTTTCAATTTCACCCATTGTAATTGGGGTGTTTAAAATTTCTATATCTTCTTCAATTAACTTTGGCAATTCATATGTATCTAGGAATCTGCCCATTTCTTCTGTATTTTCCATTTTATTGGAGCAGAGGTTCTCGAGGTAGGAATTGATTATCCTCTGGATTTCTGCTAGGTCTGTTGTGACTTCACCTTTTTCATTCTTAATTGTATGTATTTGTGCCTTTTCTTTCCTTTTATTGATAAGGTTGGCTAAAAGTTTATCAATTTTATTTCTTCTTTCAAAAAACCAACTCTTTGATTCACTGATTTTTTTGTATTGTTCTCTTAGTCTCCATTGCATTGATTTCTGCCCTGATCTTTATAATATCCTCTGTTGTACAAGCTTTGGGTTTGTGATGCTCTTCTTTGTCTAGGTGCTTGAGGTTCTGCATTTGGTTATTTATCTGCCTTTTCTCTGTTTTCCTAATATGGGCATTCACTGCTATGAATTTCCCACATAGAACTGCTTTCATTGTGTCCTATAGATTCCTGTATGTTGTACTGTAATTTTCATTTACTTTTAGAAACTTTTAAATTTCTTCTTTAATTTGTCTGTGACCCATTGGTTGTTCAAGACAGTGTCATTCAGTTTTCATGTGTTTGTTGGCATTTTGTGGTTTCTTATTTTGTTGATCTCCAATTTTATTGCACTATGGCCTGATAATATACAAGGGGGTA